TATCTAACTATCTAACTATCTAACTATCTAACTATCTAACTATCTAACTATCTAACTATCTAACTATTTAACTATCTATCATCCATCCATCCATCCATCCATCCATCCATCCATCCATCCATCCATCCATCCATCCATCCAATTTGTATGGCCACTCATTGGGTGAGACACAACTCTGGGTGGCTAACAGCAATAATAAAAACACAGCAGTAAAACAGTCCAACAAACAAACAAGAGAAACCTGGCATTCAATCAACAACTTCTATCCGACTGTACCGTCTCCCAGGCTCCAACTTTGGGAAAAGGCAGCTCTTCATGGCTTTCAGGAGAGCTAAGAGGGTGGGGGGCCTGCCCGATCTCAGGGGGGAGGGTGTTCCATAGGGCAGGGGATGCTACAGAAAAGGCACACTTCACTAGATGGCGACACTGGAGGGAAGGGACCTGGAGCCTGCCCACTACTCTATCCAACCTAGAGGGATGGGCAGATCCCGGAGGAAGAGGCAGTGGCACAAATAACCTGGCCCTGTGCCACGTAGGGCTTTCAGGGTAATAGCTGGCACCTTGAATTGCACCCAGAATACGTATCACGTATCAGAATCATGCAGCAATAGTGCAGCCTGGGCAAACTGAGAGGCCCCCAACACTAATCAGCCCTCTTGCCTGCCTGGCCTGGCTGAGCATTTTTAAGAGTGAGGGAAGAGTTGGGATGAATGGATTCCTTGGGTGGGGTTTCCGGAAGAGACACCCTCCCCCCGTCTATCCAGAGAGGCAGCCCTGGACTAGCCATTAAGCAAAATAAGCACCTCCTTAGGGCACCAAGGCAAGGGGGGCACCACCGATTTTTTTCTCCTATCATGCCTTCATTCTTTCACTGCCACACTTGACTTCTGTTGATTTTTTGGTAATTGTCCTTATCTGCCGTGTTCAACATTAACTTGCCTTGTTGTGTTCAACTTCAATTTGGGAGGGTGAATGACTAAAGTCTAAAAGTTTGGTTTTAAAGTGTTGCCAGACACCACCATGGTTTCTGTCTCATGGCCAGGGAGTTTCACCTCCATCAAGGGGCACCACTGTTGGGTGGTGAGTAGGGCATCAGTTGGCCTTAATGCAGCCCTGCAGAGAGGGATCAGGCTGGGAAAAGTGATCAGAGACAACGCAGGCCGGGCCAGATGGGCAACAGAGGGTCTCTGCCCAGGAAACTTTGTTGGCTCCTAGTAGTCTCAACCTGCCTGCTGCCTCCTGTGGGGAGTGGAGAGGGCAACTGATAAACTCACTGTCAGGCTGGTGTGATACAAGTTTGCCCCTTTTGTACACAATCATAATATCACAAGTGCATTCAGAAGGGGTGGGGCTTGCATCAGGATAGCCCAATGCCAGAAAATTTGTATAAAATGACGTGTCGTTTGTACATGGCACCTGTCAAGCTGTCAAAAATGTACAAAGGAAAATAAACCAATGTTGGAAGTGTGAAAAGGAAGAGGGGACTTTTTATTATGCATGGTGGACCTGTGAAAAAGCAAAGAAATTTTGGGTGCAAATCCATACAATGATGCAAAAGATATTGCGGATTAACATTATGATGAAACTGTAACTGTTTCTATTGGGTTTTATGGACATTGAACTAGCAAAGAAATATGGTAAATTAATATTGTATATGGTAACTGCGGCAAGATTATTGTATGCACAAAGATGGAAGAATAATGAAATACCCATAGTAGAAGATTGGATTATAAAATTGACAGAGCTTGCAGAAATGGCAAAGTTGACCAGTTTGGTCAGGGAAAAAACGATAAAGACTTTTCTGAAAGACTGGAAACTTTATACGGACTCTTTGTTGAAAGAAGAAAAGACAGAACTGATGATTTATGGATTTGGGGAGCAAAAAGGGTTAAAGTGAAAGAGGAAAGAATAAAATGGCAATTACTTGATAGAAAGAAGGGTGGAAGTCATAATTCTGTTTTCTTTATTTTTTCACTTTTTTCTTTCCTTTTTCTAGTTTCTCATTTTCTTATCTTTCAATTTTTGATCTATTCTATACTTTTATTGTATTCAAAAATTCTATTAATAAATAAACGCACCAGCCCGATGCTATTTTTGTCCTTCTGACGAAGGTTCTGGGTCCCACCTTTGGACTTTACTGATCATCAGGTTTTCTGTTATAAAGCTCTCCTGCTTAAGGCAGAAAGGCTTTGGGTTTCCTCTCTGCTGAGAGGTGGAATCCTGGGATGGTTCACCCTGCAACCCCCTGTTACGCCAACCCCGGAGGGCAAATCATGCTACCTTGCAGGTGGGGCAAAGGAAAACAGCTGCAAGACATGGCAGTTCTGGCAAGGTCAAAAGCGAATGGCCTGAAACCAGACTAGCCCACTGCAAGAACAGGGAACAGGAAGCGACTAGTCCCCCTGCCCAAGCTTGCAAGGCTGCAGAGACCAGGGTTCCACATGGACAGGAGAAAAGGTGCAAGAATCTAACCTTGACCTTACTAGAAATAGGGTTGCATTTTCTACTTGTCAGCTGATGGAATTCCTTAAGGAATTGTCTGCTTCTTGCAATAAGCATACTTATCAGAGAACTGTGTCCTTGAATCACTGCATGGATGACTTCCTGTTCTAACCTATCGGTTAAGAGCAGTCTGAGACGCTGCCAGGGGGCTGGCTCTTCTGTGCGGCCCTGCATTGGGTCCTGCAGGCTCTACCAGGGAAAGTCCAGACCAAGGTACCATCCTCTAGCAGTCAGAGCCTTTGCTCCTCACTCCATATTGTCTTTTACTTATAGATGTTTTGGAGGTTTGGGAGTTGTTGGTGTCCCAGAAGGTCATCTTCCTGCTATGGAAGGAATTACTTTTCTGGGAGATGATGAACACAGTGATGAAACTTATTTACAACCCATCTTTCTTCCCAAAGGACTCTCTGGGTAGAAATGAATGAAAGTTGACCTAGACCAGCGTTTCTCAACCTTGGCATCTTGAAGATGTGTGGGCTTCAACTCCCAGGATTCCCTAGCCAGCCATGCTGGCTGGGGAATCCTGGGAGCTGAAGTCCACACATCTTCAAGCTGCCAAGGTTGAGAAACGCTGACCTAGACTATCCACACAGCATCCTCTAATATCAAATGGACAGGGTTTGATGGAGGAGAAGTATGGTGGTGTAATGTATGTGAAATGCCCCATCAAAGATCCATCCTCAGTAGACCACTATCAAAACTTTATTATTGTAACCGTAGTCCTTAACAGAATCTACCCATGACTACTCCCAAGTCCTTACCTTAAGATGATTTTGAACTGGTTAAACACTTCCTGGATTTGCCGGATGCTCATGATCTGTAGGAAGCAGAAAGAAGCAGAGAGAAGGGCAAGGAAGTTGGGGGTGCCATGATGAGTCCAGGATAATCCTTATCGTTTGCGCCACAGTTCAAGGAGTTAATCACAAAACATAGCCTGTGTACAATGTGGGCTTTAAAAATCACATATCCCAAAGCGAAAGGAGAGAACTCTCTCTGCCTCAGGTTGTATACAGTAGTTCTGTTCCCAATCCTACTGCAATCCAGTTTGCCTAGATCTATCCTACTGCCAGCCACCTAGATCTATTTCTAGCTACAAAGAGTTCCATCTACATGATCCCTGCCCTGGGTTGGATGGCTTTTGAACCTGCCACAAAGCACACCACGTTAATAACACTGATTTACATACATGAGCATAATCCTACTCAAGACTTCCCAAGGATGCTTACTCCCAGATCAGCAGGTGTAGATTTCCCAGAATACTAACCTTTCCTGACTGGGTATTTTGGTCACTGTAGTCCAAACCATCTAAAGAACATCAGATATTCTCCAGATCTGCAAGTGAGCCACTTACGTCTAACTCATCAATGGTTCCATCCAGATACCGACGGACTTGAGAGTTGATTTCTGCTATCTGGATTTCATTCAGAGGCTCATAAGACACTGGGGGGCGATTGAGCTAAAAACAGAAGACAACAGAATCAGTCAAGGATGGACCAGGCAGTTCCTCTGCTGCCTCTCCTCGGTTCAGCCTCAACTCAATTGTCTCAACCCCAGGCTTCCAAGTAGGTGTAATTTAAGAGAGGATTTGCTACAGATCCTGACCCCTGGAGAATGTCATCTTCAAGGACCCTGGGAGTGAACCTTCTCAGCCATGGCCCTCTCCTCTGGAACAGCCTGAGATCTGGCTGGTTCCATCCCTACTAGTGTTCAGGAAGGCCATGAAGACCTGCTTGGTGGAAGACTGGGTGGAAAGCCTCTCTGAGGAAGTAGTGCCGTGAAGGTAGTGGGGGTTCTGATCTACTTCTTGATTCTACATCTTGCTTTGATGATTCCTTTACTGGGAAAAATTTGTAAGCCACTCAGATTTGGTCTGATTGGAGCAGCATACAAGCCCAAGTGTGTGTGCACGTGCGTGCGCATATGTGCATGTGGGGGGGGTCTGCTTTATGGAGATTCCTGCAGTTCTTGTCTCAAGGGGTTACTGACCCCAACACGAAACACTTATAGAAGGCATTTTCAAGGGGGGGAATTAGAAGTTGGCAAGGTCAACCAGTAGCCAAGGGCTCCTGAGCTGAGAAGGGGCCACAGTCCTTCTGCCAATGTAACACGGTGTCAGCCCTTCAAAGTAGGGCAGCTCAAGAAACAGACACGGCTGGGACTCCAGGAATGCCACTTTATTGTTTGGTTTATTAACAAAATATTGAAAGCCCATCCCAGACCTTCACTGCCTCTTTTTAAGGATAAGGTCAAGGCAGGGCTGTTCTAGGTCTCTTTCTCACACCTTCTATTTTCCCAGAGCTGAGCAACAGTTTCCTGTGTCCCACTTCCTTCTCCAGGCCAGTACTTGATCCCTCTGCAGATGGCATCTCTGCTTATGAACACTACAGCCCCCAATTCTTCAACCTACCCCTTCTTCTTGCCAGGTTGGAGGTGGGGAACCCGGTAGACATCTGTGGCACTTAGATAAGGCATATCCAGAACACCCCCACTGGGGAAAGTCTCTAGGGAGCACAAAAGATTTCAAACTGAAAACATCCTGTTCAGAGCAGGCTTTTCAAGTATGTTGGAAGTTCAAAACACCTCTGTTTCAAATCCAAACACTCTATTTTTAGCTTAAAACACTTCCAAAATGCTTGAACCAGTCCACTCTGATACAAGGCCATTGTTTCAAACCAGAGACAATGGTTCTGGATTTGAACAGGACATTTGAAACATTTTGCGCCCTCCTAGAAATCATTTTTCTCAATTCCCCAAACTCAGTCTGGTTAGTACTGTCTTTTGAAGGATGTAAGAGGAAACATGAAACCAAAAGGGAAAGAACTGACTGATCGCCAAGATGACATGAGATTGACCTGATTACAGTTAGTCCCCATGCATTTAGTGATTTCCCACTGCCCATAAACATTCTAGACTTCGGGGGGCCAAAGCAACCTTGGGGTCTTCGGTTTTGCATCCCTGCTTGCACCATGACATCTGGTGCAGGCTACCAGCTTGGCAGGCTTCAGAAAAGGGTTGGATCAATTCATGGAAGTCCTGGGGTTCAACGGCTCTTAACCCTGATGGCATGGGACTGCCTCTGAAAGCCACCTGCTGGGAGACTCATGGGCTTCCTTGGGCAGTTGGTTGGCCACTGTGAGAACAGACTATCAGGCTAGATGGGCCAGGAATCTGGTCTAGCGGGGCACTGGTTATGTTGTTATATTATGATGCAACCAAGCCCAGTTGTGTCATGTCACCAACCCATCAAGGTGCACCTTCATAAATGGTTGCTTCTTACCAAACTGTTGTGCATTGCCAACTCTTCCTTCAGGTAGAGGACCTCTTTTTCCAAGTTCTTCACCATCCTCTAAGCAGACAAGAATGGCATTGACTAAGTGATAGGAAAGTTAGGAAGAATTGCTCAAAAATGTTTTCAGACCCCAGGAAATACAAAGTGTCCATCAGAATCCTTCCACCTTCCTACTTCTAATCAACATAAGGGTCTATTCCTGACTCTTATACAACTCCCACAAAATGTGACTGTGCTTGTTAGCATTTCACAAACTTATTTCTCATTGTAAAAAGATCGAGGAGTTCAGACCACCATTAAGGTGGGGTCTGTTGGAATTTCTACAGCTTCTTGGATCAAGTGGGAAAAATAAGAAGTAATGCTAAAATTGGGCAGCCTTAAAGCTTCTGAAGGAAACATGGGATGTCAGTCAAAAAGGGTATAGCAAAATAAACAAATAGATGCCTCAGTTCCTGAGTATAAGGAGAAGATCTGCTGGCTGGAAATTTTTATTTTATTATTTTATTTCTCACATTTATACCCCTTGCAACTGGAAGATGGAAGCAGCTGGGATATGGTTTCCCTGCAATAGGATTTCCAGATTACTCTATCCAACCAAACCAAGTCATAAACCACAAGGCAAGACAAAAAAGAAAGCCACCTCCAAATTTCCTATGGTTTCCAGCCACACAGTCCTGTAGAACTACTTATTTGTATGATCCCAAGGATGGTAATCTATCAGACTTCCTATTCACATGCATTTTCTTCTTCTGTGATGGCATCCAGCTGTGGAAGCAATCTCAAGCATTAGAATCATATGACAATCATCTTTAGTGTGCATAATATAGTTATGTTTGACTTCAGAAGAGCCAACTTCCCAAAAATGAGAGTGAAAAGAAAGTTGAAAGGGAAAATCAAGAGGGTAATTTTTCTCCAGAACACTCAAGAGATGGTTCAAAATCACCACAGAATCTCTGCTACAGTGGATACCTCAGATCAGGAATGGTGCCTTGAAGGTCAAGAGGACATTGGAGTAGTTAATGGTCAGAGATGTTATTCAAGGCAAGAGAGCTTCCTTGAAAAATGGAAGTGTTGCTTAGATTAGGAGAACTAAAAAGCACAGAAATTCTGGCCAAAGATCTGCAAGCAGCAAATAAAAGATACCCCCCTCCCCCCGCAAAAAATGCACAGCAAGGAACACTAAGACAAGCAACAAAACATTCTTCATATATACATTTGGAATAAGAAACAGACTGGTAAGGCCCTTGGGCCATTGGAAGACAAGGAGGCAGCAGGGAAACCAAATTAATTCTTTGCTTCTCTCTTCACTGCTGACGATGTTGGACAGATGTCCATGCCCAAGATGACTTTTTCAAGAGGAAGATTATATGAACTGAGACAAAGAGAGATGAAGTTACACGCCAAATTGACAAACTAAAAAACAAACAAAAATCCCTAGGTCCAATTGGTATCCACCCAAATCTTCTGAAGGAACTTAAATATGATTTTTTTTCCACAAAAATATGTAACTTGGCAAATGTTCTTGAGGACTAAAAATAGCCAGATGAGGTCCTCCAGGTATCAATGTTGGGACTGGCTCTTTTTAACTTGCATATAAAGGGGCTTAGGGTTGACCAGAGAGGTGGCCAGACAGTTTGCTGATGACGCCAAACTGTCCACAATAGCAGGATCAAGGAGGGGTTGTGAAGAGCTCCAAAAGGATCTCTCCAAACTGGATGAACAGACTTCAGATCGGCAAGTTCAGTGTAAAGAAGCACAAAACGATGCATGCTGGAACAACAACAAATCCCAAACTTCACTTTTCCATTAATGAGATCCAAGCTGGCAGTGACTGACCAGGAAAGGGATCTTGGGGTCATAGTAGACAACTCAGTGAAAATGTGAACCTAGTTTGCACCTGCTGTATAAAAGGCACATTCCATGCTTGGAATCAATAGGAAGGGAACTGATGCAGTACAATGGCTGTTGATAAAATAATGACTTTATGTGAATCTATAGCGAGGCCACATTTGGAGTAATTTGCTCAGCTCTGATTACTACCCTTTAAGAAGGATACCACAGGGCTAGGCCAAGAAGCTCTCCACGAAGAAAGCCTACAGCGGTTGGGCTTTTGAGTCTGGAGGCCTATCGATGTATATAAAACCATGCATGGCATCAACGAAGGAGAGAGAGAGATATATTTTTTCTCTCTCACACTGTTAGAACTTGAAGTCATTCACTGAAACTAAATGTAGGTATTTCTTTTTCACAAAGCCCCCAGTTAAAGTTTGGCATTTGTTGCCAGCAGTTGTGATGGTAGCCAGTTTGGTCTAGTGGCGAAGGCACCAGGCTAGGAACCAGGAAACTGTGAGTTCTAGTCCTGCCTTAGGCATGAAAGCCAGCTGGGTGACTTTGGGCCAGTCCCTGTCTCTCAGCCCATGACATCAGGCTCAGGTGACAAGCCACTTGGTTAATTCCTGTCGCAACCAATGGATCAACGTTTGGTGGATTTGAAAAAAAAGCAGACCCTACACTTGCAGAAAAAACGCTAGGAAGAAACGCTGTGATGGTAGCCAATTTGTAGAGTTTTAAAAGGGGGGTGGAGAAGTTTGTGGAGGCTCTCGGTGGTTACGAATCTGGGTGCCTCTTCCTTGCCTCTAAACATACCTTAAATCCCATTTTTTGGAAAGGGACAGGGAGAGGAAGGTCTTGCCCTCCAGTCCAGATGTGTGAGCCTCCTAAACGCATCCAGCTGACTACAACCCTGATGGTTGACTACAGGGATGTTTGGATAGATGGGTCTATTTTTTTTTTAAGAAAATAAGAGTGCAAGACAAGCTTGTATGTTCTTAAGAAAACAGCTGGCAAGAAATCCTTCCTGAACCCAGGAGATTACATGTAATGTATTCTGGTTTGGAGAATTGTCTCAAGGTATGAAGAATGAATATCATCTTAAGCATGTGTCACTCATGTGGGGTGGATATAAATTCTAAGATTGGAACCAGAGTCTTCCTACATGAGGCTAAGAACCTTAGACATGTGAGGTACTCAGAAGAGGATGCAGAATCAACTGCAAGATGTCTCCACGCATGTTGGTACTGTAACTGGAATTAGATGATTGACACTCAAGAGTGGCCCCAAAAGGAAAGCTAATATTAAGTAAAGAAATATTCCCTTGAATCAAGCTTGATTCCCATTGACCATGGCCTTGTAATCTGGGGGCCAGCATGACAGAAATGGTTTGCCTTATCGTAGCATTTTTAAATTTCCCTGTCTAGCTGACATACCTAGGATTCCCAGGTGATTCCTCAACTTATTACTAGCTAGAGCCATCCTTGTTTAGCTCCTGAGATGGCCCAAGGTTGGCTAGGTGCATTCATCTGCTACAGAGGTGGGGAATAACAACTGCCAAGTGTTGCATCAATGGCACTTCCATCTTCCTGAGTCCAAAATTCAGCCCAATTTCTTCTTATGGTCATTATCCCGGGGAGGGCAGATTACTCTATGGGCATGATCTGAATAATGATTTCATTGCCTGCCCCACTCTACCCTTGGGCTAGGTATTCAAAGTTGCATCGGCCTTTCCTGTCTCCTAGCCCCATCACCCTCTCCTTCAAGAGAGCAGAAACATCTAATGAGGACATACCTCCGAGTCGATTTTTTCATTTACAATTGGCTCAGTAGTCACCCATTTCATTCTGGTGGCAAAACGAAGTGTGGACAGCTGCAAGAATATTAGCATTACCAATATTTGTCATAGTGCTATTATTGAGGACTCCCAGCAGTCTGCATTAGAGATCATCTGTATGCAAAGTTGTACATATTTCCTTCTTGCTGCTCTTCTTCTGACAGGAGAAAGGTCAGAAGTCAGCAGCTGCAATGATTGTTCCTTTCAGACCAGGCTGAGAACAGTTGCACAAACATTCAAGAACAGCTCCAAGAAAGTCTCGTTCCAGTACATGTTGGGCAGCATAATGAACGCTGTGCTTGGAAACTGGAGATCTCTTTTTTTTTTTGCTGTGTGGAAAAAGAACCAGACTAGCCACCACAAGGACTATTTTTGCCTTCTTTGGGGAAAAAGCTGAAGGCAACTACCTAACCCAGCTCCTCTTCTTGCAGCTTCAGGTTACTGAAAGCGCTGTGGTGGTTCACTAAATTATTACTCCAGACTTGGTACACTTGCCAGCCCTGGGAGTTTCTAGAGAGGGCCTTACGGTCACTCTGATCTAGACCCTTCAAAGTTAGATCAGGAGGAGTCTGGTCGCACCTTTTCCAACTCACCAATTTCATTAACAGGCAGAAGTTTTTGTGAGCTGCGGCTTACTTCCTCAGATGCATAGAGTGTATTCCGATGCTGCTGCTGCTGCTGCTGCCGCTGCTGCTGCTGCTGCTGCTGCCGCTGCTGCTGCTGCTGCTTCTGCTCCTCTTCTTTTTCTTTCTCTTCTTCTTTTTCTTCTTTTTTTTCCTTTTCTTCTTCTTCTTCTTCTTCTT